TATGAAGTAAAATTATGTAATAATAAATATTTTATATAAAAGGCAAAATAATAAAGAGCGTAAATCTTTTTGCCTAGCGAAAACTGAAGAACACAAGTTATATTTCCTACTGCAACTCACCTTTGATTAGACTACGAGAAGATAGTTTATTATCTGATAATAAATATAAAATAATTTTATACAAAATGACTTTCTATCCTTTCTATATAGATAGTAATGGCAATGTTCGACTACCATTTGGGTGAGCAGTAGAATGTTACCTGTATTTGCTTCCCATATCACAAAATATCTGTTATAAAGTCCAAAGCCAAAAACGAGTAAATGAAGCAATAAAACAAGGACTTGTAATAGTTGAGCGCGTAGAAGGTTCTGTTGACTATCTTGGATGGAAGACTAAAAAGGTGAAAGTAAATCAACAAACCACCTTGATGATTTTCTACGACTTACTAAAAATGGAAAATATCGAGTCTAACAAATATATGCAGGAAACAAAAGTGATATTAATGTTTGGTGATAGACCTGGTTTTGTTCCGGTGAAGGCTGCTGCCAAAGATCGTGTGGTAGGATCGGCAAATGCATAGAAACATATAATTACTATTCAGATCAATGTAACCTCAAGAATCCTTTTGATATGCACAAATGTAGTGTACAAATTCTTACAGAGGTTATACTTTCTGAGGTTGAAATAGAATTTTCTATACGCATGTTTATTAAAGGTAATCATATTCTACCAAATATTATTCGAGAAACAACTGCATTATCTCGAATTAATTTAAGTAAAGAAGCACATGATCTTGCAATTACAAACCATCGAGCAGATAAGCAAACAACAAAAGAAATAAAAATGAAACTCCTCGTACCACATAATGGTAATTCACAAAATGAACTTGAACATTTGTATAGTGGTCAAAATTCGATATGTGATGATGTGAAGCTTTGTCAACTTATTGAAAAAGACAGTTTACGTGCAAGAAAAAATGTAGATCCCTGGACAATTGTGCATGAATTGGTAACTGGTATATTAAAACAAAAGGATGCTATATTATACTACCAGCAACCTAATATGAATGTACCTGAAAATAATTTTGATCATTATTATCAACTTACCTTGAGCGATGATTTATGGCTTTAGCAGGCACGTGACTTTGGCTCATTTTGCTTTGGCATTGATGGAAAGTACAACTTAAACAGTGATGAAGCACCAATTTTATCTTTAGTAGTTGAGAATAATGCAGGTTATGAAACTTCAATTGCATTTGGACTATCAAATAAAGAAAATAACCATATGATTAGACTTGCCATAGAAGCTATTCAGTGCAAATTCTGAGTAATAAAATTGATTGCATGCATGAATATGAATATATGGAGTTACCAAATAGTAAAAGATTTATGAAAACCCGGCAGTGTGCACAACGATGGCAGCTATTTGCGATGATTGATAAGTATCGACAGACAAAATGGGGTCTCAGCCTATTCTTCGTGGTGTAATTTTATGTTAGTTTCACATAATGCAAACATTTAGTGAACACTTTAAAAACTTAAGAATTGATAACCATTACCATTACCCAATTGCTATAGCTTTCAAAATAGTAGGCCGAAGCTGAAGTGTAGATGAAGCCTTAAAACTTGGAGAGGCTTATCAGCTTTTTATTAAATCTCTACCACTTACAGAAGTCACAAAAGAGTTTTTGTGTAATGATTTATTTTCCAATTGGTTGTCTGATGAATGGATCAATTGCTTTATTGATGGTGGTCGAATGCTATCCGCAAATGATTTACCAAATGCTAAACCTATGACTACAAACAATCTCACAGAGCGAATAAATAAGTCAGTTGAAGGTAAGCATGTAGATACTCAACCAATTAACCATTTTATTAAAAGGTTATATGGTATTACTTTAACATGGGACAATATTATTAAAGAAACCTCTTCACAGTTAGTATTTGAAGCAGTCAGGTGACATATTAGAATTCGTGAATTATAAAGTATCAGATATTACTATTTAAGCAACCAATTGATATGAAGCGACGATTGAACCAAGGACATCTTTATGTTATACTTCACTCAGTAAAACCTGCGGTTGAAGGATCAGATACATACTTTTATGTAAAAAAAGGAAATAGCGAATTTAGATCTCCATATACTATGCGAAGAATTAGTATTGATGACAAATCAAGCAAATTACTTTAGCCAATATTAAATGAACTTGCATCTAAACATCCTGTTGCGCAGCAAAAAGATTACTATCTTATCAATATTTTTATAGAAGAATGTACATGCTTAGATTTTATCTGGAATGGTTTCTTTCGAGACGTATATAAGCATATCTATGCAGCACGGTTGTTTAACAAGGTTGAAGATAATGAAATTACACTGGATATTATTAAGAATGATCTTGTGCAAT